ATCATAGCTCTGAGCCGGAGACTAAAGTAGAACAATTCAATTTGCCCCTATTTTTCATCCTTTGCAGACGCGGACGCTTTCATTCTAGGAGGCAAGGCCCAAACGAAAACGCACCATGCTCAAATCAAGTGGCATAATCGAGTCAGGAGAATCCGGAAGCGAAAACACTTCCAGCAGTGACAAAGATTGGAACGACAGACATCTTTCGAAGAAGAAAAAGCCGAAAGCGAGGAATACCAGAAGGTCGTCTGCTTCCAGCGAAACTCTGTCCGAGATGGAAAGGGAAGAAGGTAAACGTTTCTCCGAATTTCTCTTGACTGACTTCAGTGGTAGTCGATTTTTTGGCTTTCAAGTGAGGGCTATCACATAGGGTGCAGTCAAAGTGGAGTTAGACCCCTAAGGGGCTATGTGCATTTCGACCCTTTTTGAACCTCTGAGCTTAACACATTTTTGTGACACTACTGAGCAGTGTATTCATTTGCTGTAGTTGATCCATTCATGTCAGCTATGAGGCGAGTCATGGAGCATTCAGCATTCTAGGGGTCAAGCGCCGGAAATCTGCTGAGCTCTTTGGGGCTCCCAGTAGCGTCATTCTGTCCCCAGGCCCATTTACTGTCCATTTCTCTGTATCACTAACAATTCATTGTGTAACTGCTGTTTATGTAATTTCTGTTTTAGGGGAATTGGATGATGCAGTGAAATCCAGCGATTCCGATTCCGATTCGGTGAAATTCGTTGATGAATATGATGCTAATTTAATGGGCGATGAAGAAGACCGTAAAAGACTGGAAGCTATGACGGAGAAAGAACGAGAGGAAGAGCTTTTCAGGCGTTTGGAGAGACGTGAAATGTTAAAAACCAGGTGGCGTTATTTGTGTTCCTCCTCCTCCATCTATTCCTTGGATAGCGGTCAGTAATATCCTTCGACGTTTAGATTTGAAATCGAGAAGAAACTGAGACGAGCCAAGCGAAAAGGCGAAAAATCAGCCGCCAGAGATGTCACAGCCGAAATTGATCTCGGGGAAAGATCGTCGACAAAAAAGTCGCAATCGGTGAAACTGAAAACGAATGGTGAATCTTCTTCAGACCGCAAAACTGCCACCGATAAGGCAAAAGAGAGCAAACAGAGGGCAATGCAGGATCTTCTGGCGAAGCGCGAAGAGAAAAAGAAGCTCGGTAAGTAGATGTGGTCTTTTTTCTTTTTTTACTATTTGCCCTCATCTTCCGTTGTTTATTTTACCCCCTCGTTTTAGCTGAACAGGAATCAAAGAAGCCACCTCTGAAGGTCGAAGAGGTGTTTAAGTCGTCGTCAAGTGATGTCTCTTCTACATCCAGTTCTTCGGCATCTGAATCGGAAGAGTCGGAAGAAGAAGATACCAGGCCTAAACAAATTCAGACTAAAATGGAGTTGGATAAAATTCGCATGTCTCGTTACAAGATGTCAAAGTGAGTATAACGGTTTATCATTTTAAGTGAAACCAACACTTACCGTACATCGTTATAAATGCCCAAGATATTCTGGATTTTCGATATCGTTTGGAATTGTTTGTGATACTGATATATCTTGATGGAAAGAGGAAAGTTTGTAACAATTTTCATTTCATTGTTCCTTTCAGTTTGACCCATTTCTTGCTACCTTCTTTTCATGAATTAAATGGCAGAGCGCTGATCTCGATTTCCATGCCATCAGTCAAGAGTGCCTTATTTCAGAGGCAGATTCAACAGCAGCTAGGTGACAGGCTTAGTGTTTAGTCTTATGTTTCGTTTCCACAGAGTGGTATTCATGTGCCAACCTCGGAAGGATGAAAAGCAAGTGAAAGTTCATTGCTCGAAGCCACAAACTTTCGGTTTTGAGTCTGACGCTCTACCGACTGAAAAACTTCGGTTTATATCTTGAAAAGTTCTTTCACAGTGGACGCGAACAAGCTTAATTTATCCACCTTTTCAGCAAAGGAGCAACTTTAGAAGCGATGTAGTATTTCTGTTTGTACTGCCGTTTTTGCTTGTGGCACGGAAGCCATGATTAGGCTGTTCACCATAATTCTGCATAACACGCTTTCAGCGCAAGAATGAAATTTGTGCCAGGTCAAGGGCACTCTAAACTATGTAGTTCACCCATTCCAGCAAGGACGCCATGTCGGCGTTCCGTCTCGAGGTCAGAAAAGCGAAGAAGGCCTTTAATGTGATGTTCCTTATGCACAAAGTGATGTTTAAGATACCGTGGTATCACCCTGGAGCGGATTTCTACCTTCAGTAAATTCCTATATAAGGCGATGTGAAAAATCAGGTCGTTGTCTAGCATCGTTCAGATGTTTAGTGGCGCCGTTCGGGGTGAAGATACTCTGTATTACTCTGACATCCCTCTTGCCTTCTCAGCATCACGGTGTTGTGTACCAGTCTCTTCAAGAAGAGCTGGTGTGAACGAAGTGGACGTACAACATAAGTAGTGATGCGGATGATTACAGGAATATTGCAGCGTCCACTGTAACATAATGGTTTCACATAAAATCGATCATCTCCCCTCTGCACATTCAGTGGCAAATTAATGAATTGCGGACCCACTCTAAATGCCACTCGTAGAAATTTAATGGAGGTACTTAAAAATTTTGGCTGAGATCAAGTGCTGTTCCGTAGT